AGGAACTTCCTTTTTTTTTTTTTTTCTGAAGAGCCTAGAGACACAGATTTTATATTCTCATTTGGACCTCTGGGGATTATCAGGCTGGAAGTATCAATTACTGGAACTTAAATTTATTGAAAAAGACATTTCAAGCACCTAGGTGCTTATCTTTAGGAACTACTAAGTAGTTCCAAGGAAGAGAGACTATAGACATAATTAAGAGATATGCAGTAGTGTTTGGAGAACTGGAATCAACAACCTACTAGAATTGAAGTAAAAACTGGAGAAAGAAAAACACCCCGTAGGATCTGATGCAGTTTCAGGGTTTTTTTAATTTCTAAGTTTTAGTTTTTTGCCTTGAAAACAAAGAAATCTTACTGTACGTTTCCTCACAGTTAGGCTTTACTGCAAGTTTTTCAGTTTTCCCCAAAGCGATCTTATGTAACCACAGATGCTATGAAAAACAGAATTTAAATGAATGACTATGTGTTAAATGGGATGTGCAATTACAGATAGCTCTGATATCCTGTAAACATATGGGATCAAAATGGTTCTGGCTCCAGCTGCACTATTTTGAAAACACATTGCTGGTATCACCTAAATAAATGCTTTGACCATTAGAGTGGAAAGGGTGACACTTCAAATCGTGTTTGGATACAAAATTTAAAAAGCTTAAAAACTATTCACCAGAAGGAAGACACTTATCCGGAGCATAGGACACATTTATTTTGCATAAGTGCACCAGATGACAGGAGCAGTCTAAGCCATTTTACAAGTGGTTTAATAGAAGAGACAGCACATACGATACACTCCATCTTTCTGAAGTCACATAAAGGAAAAGACAAAAAAACACAAACAAAACTTCCCATAAACCTTTTTCTTCATTATTCATGAGGGCCATATACAGTGACTCACAATTTGCAGACCTTAAGTTTTTTTTTTTAACTGGCATCTTAGAATCATATGTTAGGTCACAATGGCTCCGATCTTTTATCACTTTCAGACATTTCATAATTCATGTGGTATATAAGATGTAGTGGGACATTTCTTAGTCTATATGGAATTAAAATTTGGTTTAAACCCATGATTTCATTCTGCCAGTGGTATATTAAATAAACAAGACAAGCAACATGACGGCAGGGTAAAATTTTATGGACAAAGATCAGTCCTGGTAGGGATGACATGCTTCCAGTAATCCAGCCTTGAGAATCAAAAATCCATTTCAAAGTGAGAAAATAAAAAAAAACCCCTCAGTTACAGCAGTCTTGCAGGCCACAGTGCATACTCCAAGTTTTATCCTGGCAGCTGTCAAGCAGTTAACATTGATGAAAGTGCCTTCAGAACCATAAAGCATTATTATGTGTATCAGGGCCAGAATTTTTTTACCTGTATAACATGATATACTAGAGCAATTTGGATATGAAATATTTCTATACCACTACAATAAATCATAKTTCATATCAAGCCATAGTGCTGAAGTGCTAGAATTACTGCCAATGCTAGTACTACGAGAAATCAGAATCTGTCAGATTCTATACGCTCAACAACTCTCTCTTCCGTACCCATTTTAAATAGAAAAGAGCCCATAAGAACCAATGAAACATCTCATTACAGACACTATTACTTAAATTGAAGACTGTCAACCAGTAGCAAATTATTCTTTTAAAAGGCTGGTGGCTTCAAGACTCAAGAACCAAAATAACACGTCTGCTAGCTCTAAAATGCAACATGTCCTGTACACCGTATTACAAACACAAGATAGACTAAACATGTTCTTTGAATGGGGTACATAATTTTTGTCACAATAGCCTTATGTCACTTGAACAACCTAAAAATAAGAAAAAAAAAGAAAAAAATTACAAAATATGCTTATCTATAAGGACAAAGGTAATATTTCAACTAAAAACTATACATCCAGATGACGCCTGCTCTAATACTTGACCCATGTGGAAAGATACAAGGAACTGAGGTTGTTTAGTCTACAGAAAAGAAAACTGAGGGAAGAAATGATAACAGTTTTCAAATCAGCTCAACTGAAGAGGTGAACAAATTGGTCATGGCTAGGGAAGATGGAATAGGAAATAATGGTTTTCTGTTGWAGACCCTCTCTGATTTTGCACCTTTTATTATTCTTTTAATATGGAGAAGCTGTCCCTGTGCAAAGGAACAGAGAATTCAGTGCAGATCCCAGTACACTATATCCAGTTCGTGTAAAGAGTTTGTAAAGACCTCCAAATTCTTCAAGATAGTTATGAATAATTAAAGCAGAAAAAAAGATATCATAACAGGTTTTTACATATTTTTCTCTAGTTTCATTGGAAAGATTTCTTCCTTTTCACAGATAGCACAAAGTTTACTGCTTGTCTGGCTTTTGTATACTTCCAGTTTGATTGTCATGACATCAAAGTCCAACAAAAAGAACATGTACTTTTTTAGCATCAGGAAGAGATTTTTCTGTGTAAAATTGAGTTTTCACTGAACATATTAAGTTTCTGCCTCTTTTCAAGATTTCCTCTTTAAACAGTGTTTTATCTTCTTCCAAAAATTATTTAGCAGCATCACCAGTATGCATAAACTCTCCAAGATAATGTAAACCAGATCCTGTCTCATCTTCTCATCTTGCTGTTATTTAAATATCTTCAGCCCTATCAGGCTCCTTTCATTTTTCCTGCCTCATACTGCCATCTTGTACATGGATGAAATGTATTTACACTTCAATAAACTGGAAAGTCACCCTTGCAAACACCAAGATTTTTATTGAGAGAGAGTGGAAGGGAACTGCTGGGAACACTGTGGGTAGATAGTTGTTCAGCATACCTACACCTTCATACACTCTGCATTAAGGAGTATTTAAGAAGCCTCTCAGAGGATCATCTTTTTTGTAACTTCCCAACTCTTCATTCTTCTGCACTCCTGGTTTCAATCAGTGTACTACTCTGAATGAACTGCTCCAAGACAATAATCTCATTAGCCATCCTTGGTCTTCTTTCAAATTCAAAATTTGGAATTAGCCAAGTTCACCTTCTTGCCTTATTTCTTTTCACATTCATCTAGTGACCGATGTGTATTTGAAGTATCAAAAATGTTCTGTCCTATGCACACCAAATTTAAAACTACTTCAGTTTAAAAGTCTAGAAGATTTAGGTATTAGAAGAATTCTTTATAGTGGGGATGGTGAGGCACTGGAGCTGGCTGCCCAGAGATGCTGCGGCCGCCCCATCCCTGGAAGTGCTCATGGCCAGTTTGGATGGGCTCTGAGAAACCTGGTCTAGTGGAAGGCRTTCCTCCACTCATTGCTCATGGCAAGGGAGTTGGAACTAGGTGATCTCTCAGATTCCTTCCAAACTGCTGGATCTTGAACCGTTGGACTTGATGAACTTAAAGGTCTGTTCTTACCTAAACATTGCTAYGATTCTATGGCTTTTGTGTCTACTACTTGCCAGCTGAGGCACACTCTCAAGACGAGAGGTTCAGCAACCAYGGCTGTGCACACGCAGCAGTGCAGAGAATATTCTCTCAGGCACTGCACACTGCACCTGAGCTCTGAGGTGCCTTTGCAATTCTATGTGTGGGTGCTGTGCCATACACCCAGAACCACAGTGCTGTTGTGTTTATGTAAACAGGCTCCACTGACAGCCTCCTGCTGGCTGTGTATTGGCATCTATTGTAACTTCCACATGCTGGTAGTTGAGAGGCCACAAAACTTCAGTGTGGGCTACAATTCACAGATTTTCTACTGACTGCAGAAGCAACGCTATTTGAGACAGATCCTGAATGCAAATGATTTTTTAGCAGAGAAAGTAATAGGTAATTTGCTAGACTGGGATCATTCTTCCCCCTCTTGAACAGATAATGGCTTGGAGAGAAATGTTTGCATTTGATGAATGCCTTTAGTGCTGCTGTTTATTGTTCTACGCCAGGAATGCCAGATGACATGGGTGCCAAGCACCTCCACTGCTATCACAAATGAGGCCAAGAAGTGTCTCACAGGCACTCCTGTTTCTACTCAGCATATTAAATGCAGAAAAGATTAAAGATCTTCTTCCAAAATCACAGAATCAGAGAATCAGTCAGATTGGAAGGGACAGCAGTGAGTCAAGTGGACGTCCTAGAGCACAGGGCACACAACTGTATCCAGACGGTACTTGAGTATGTCCAGTGAGACTCCATAACCTCCTATGCATCAGTTTCTGTCCTTTGCCTCTTGTCCTGTTGCTGGGCTCCACTGAGCAGAGCCTGGGCTATCGTCTTGACACCCTTCAGATACTCACAGACATTGATGTGGTCCCATCTCAGTCATCTTCTCTCCAGGCTGAACAGACCCATCTCTCCTCAAAAGAGAGATGCTCCAGTCCCCTTCTTGCCCTCTTCTGGACCTGCCGTGGGAACTTCACACCTCTCATATGCTGAGGAGCTCAGAACTGGACACAGCACTGCAGCTGCACCTCACCAAGGCTGAGTAGAGGGGCAGAATGACCTCCCTCGACCTGCTGGCAGTGTTCTTCCGAATGCAACCCAGGACACCACTGCTCTCTCCCACAAGGGCACAATGCTGGTTCAATCCCTTGAGCGTTTACTATTTGGGCTCCTTCACCCACATGTGGCACGCTCCTGGGCACACGGCCTGGCCGATGGCCAAGGCTGGGTACCCGGGCCCCTCTCAGGTACTGCAGCTCCCGTCCAGASAGCCTGACCCAGGGAGGGCACACGGCTCCCCGCCGCCCATGAGGAAAGTGTACCACGACCCCCGCACCCACACCCGCCCCAAACCCAGCCAGGGGGCCGGGCCCGCCCTGGCAGCCCCCACAGCCGAGCACCGCCGGCACCGCCCATCATCAGGGCCCGCGGCGCCGGTCCGGGCGGGTCACCGCTCCTGTCGGCTTCTCCACCATGGTGCCTTTCCCCCGGGATTGCTGTGCGCTCCCCAGGATGCATGACCGCCCCCCGGGACGGGTGGCCTTTTCCCGCAATGGGTCACCGCTCCCCGGGACGAGTGGCCTTTTCCCGCGATGGGTCACCGCTCCCCGGGATGAATGACCCCTCCCTCCCCGGCAGGGCTGACCGCTCCCCAGCACGGCAGCCGCTGCCCAGAGCCCCTCCGCCCCGGCGCAGGAGGAGCCGCCCCTCCCGGCGCAGGCGCCGCAGCGCTGTCCGGCGCCATGGCCCGCGGGGCGCTGCTCGGCGCCGTGGCGTGTCTGTGCTTCCTGGCCCCGGCGGCCGAGGCCTTCAAGAGGAGGGGACCCAGCGTGACAGCCAAGGTGACTCTCGCCCGCGGCCGGGCCGGCGTCTCCGCTGGCCGGGAGGCCTCGGGATGGGTCGGGCGGGRCCCCGCGGCCGTGCGGGGTGCCGGGGGAGCCGAGCCGGCCGCCCTCTGCCCTGCCCCCTTCCACAGCCGGTCCGCGCCGCATCCCTGGCACTGAGGGCTTGGGGCGGGCTTGGGCCCACGCTAGGACTCCACCGTTTTGTAAGGTGTTGTGGTTTTGTTTGTTTATTTGGCTAGTTGATTTTTAACCCCTTTGGGCATGCCGCCTTTCTATGGGCGCTGGCACACGGCAGACTTAGGGCCAGCAAAACTTTCCTCTGGCTTCCAGAAGTGGAAACTTTTGGAATTCCTCACCCCTCCAGYGCTGCTGCGGCCTCTGCTGCTGTCGTGGCGTTTCGGGGTTGCTGATGCTGCCAGGCCGCCCCGAGCAGGGGTGTTTAACTGCGCTGGAGCTTTTCTGTGCCATGGGTTTCTTTCACTCGCCCCTRCCCTCTTTGCTGAAACTCCTGCAGCCGGTCCAACAGAATTGATCAAGGGAGTGGACCATCTCTCTTACCTGAAAATGGGGGCCCTGCTGAGCCTGCAGAAGGGATAATTGAGAACGTCATCAATGTCCATGAGTGTCTGAAAGGGAAGGTGTCTGGCTCTTTTGGTGTTGCCAGGCGGATCCACCTGAATATGGGGAAGAMCTTCCTTACCGTGCAGGTTACCAAGCACTGGAACAGATTGCTTGAGAGGTTGGGGAGTCTTTCTCACAGGAGATATTCAAGAACTATCTGGGCACAAACCTGTGCCATGTACTCTGGGATGGCCTTGCCTGAGCAGGGAGATTGGACCAGATAACCTGCTGTGTCCTTTTCCAACCTGACCCATTCTGTCATTGTGTGAAGCTCTTGGTATGGAGAGCTGTCCCTTTTTTGCCCCCTTGTTTCCTGCTGCTTTGTAATGCCTGCCCGCAGTGGAGGAATGGTGCACGAGGTGCCTGTGAGGCACAGCCARCGGAGCCACGGGCTGGATCCTTTAGGGCTCGGTGCAGCAGGGCTCCTTGGCAGGCACGGTGGGCTGGGCTGTGGCCATGCAGATGTCACTGCCCAGGAGATGGGCTTGTGGGCTGTGCTGCCTGCTGGCAGGATGGGGATGCAACTCATTACTGCAGCATCTCTTTCCAAAAGTGTTATCTTGGTGCAGCAGGTGCGATGTTTAGTCCCACTTTGGATGAAGCAAGACATTTGGTGTTTCAGTGACCAAATGTCTCTTCACCTGCAGTTAAGGGACTGCAGCCATGCTGGCAAACACACCTACACTCATGAAAGCATGACAGGGAAGGGCAGGCGCAGAGCTGGTTCCTCTAGAATGGCTTCAGCATCCTTTGCCACGGCCTGTTCCTTTGTTTCTTAGCTTCATTGCCACTGTTGTCTGCAACTCCTTACAGTTTCATTGCCAAGGACTTCTAGGCCCCAGATTTGATTTTTTGGGGTGGGTAAATTTGACTTCCAAACAATCTTATTATATTCCCATTTAATTATGCCTRATGTACTTTCCTTCTTCATTCCTTCTGCCTGGAATATAATTTTATGCCCTTTTCTGATTGTTGTGGTACATAAAGAATTGCAGTGGCAATTTTTCCTGGGCAGTGGTAATTTCACAAAACTCATCAAATTACACCAATTTTCCCTCTTCCAATTTAAGTAGTTTTTTTGTAATCTTTCTTTATATAAAAGCTGCTTTCTCTTCCAATTTAAGTMGTTTTTTGTAATCTTTCTTCATATAAAAACCATCTGTTTTGCCCGTTTTTCTATATTTTTTTAGGTTGGTTTTCTCATTCTGTGATAGAGAAGCCAGAATTACATGCAACAGTTGGGGTGTGAACTTACAGTACAGATGTAATTATGGTGTAATTATGCCCATGTCTTTTCTGTATGCATTTTAATTATTTCTAGTATTTGTTTTTCTTCTCTGACCTTCAAAAGCCCAAAGCCACTGAGCTGCTCAGGATGACTCCAGATGTATTTTGGCCCCGTTGTTGTGGCTCTGCACCATATACAGTATTTTTACATTTATGAGTTTATGACATGACCTGGCCTCTCAGAATCATGAGATCTTCCTTTCACAGTCAGCTTTTGTTTTCCAGAATAATTGAATGCTCTTGTCAATTTTTTCAATTAGATGTACACCATCTTTTGTAAATTATATATGAATATTTTTATGAGAACCAGCCACTCTTTCTGGTGCATTCTTTTTTCATTTCAGCCTTGAAATACTTAAATTCAAATTGTACATAAGATTAAATATTTATAAAAATATTAATAAGACTGACAATTTATAATATTTATTTTTCTTCAGTTCTTGTTGAAGAATTTGGCCAGATGTTTTTTGAGATTTAGAAATCGACCAGCTGTCGACCAGCTCACTAATGTGTACATGCGTATTGAATTTCCAGAGAAATTGAGGAAATACACTCACACGAACAAGGCGTTTCTATGCAGGAATAGTGTCTAGGGCTACCAAATATTTCCATACTTGATTTTGTGGCCAAAAATATTCACAGACACATTTTTAGAAGTACTGGGTTTGCTTCTTAAGCGAGCAGCAATGCCACGTATGAAGCCTTGTGGCTGGACTAGGCTTACAGCATGTGATGGACTTGTCTCTGTGTGCTCTGTCAAAGCGTTCCTRCTCTCTGGGGTAATTGTTTGATAGCCTTGGTCACTAACATATGCTTATATATTTCAGGCAGTCCTATTAGAACAACATTTCCAGACAAAATAGACAGTGGGTTTAGAAAATGTACCCCTTACATAGATAATCCTGGCGGCACAATTCAGAGAGGTTTGTTTATAGAACTGTTAAAAAGTTAGTGAAAGTGTGCTGTTAATACTTWGGGAGCCACACATCTAAGAAGCATGTTATTCACTGCCAAGTGCCAAGGAAATGAATGAGGTGTATCAAAAGGAATTTTATTTCCTTTATAGTGCTTTTATAGCRTTAGCCAAAAGTTCAACAGTCAAAACCACATGGAAGATCAAGAAACGGTAGAAATGTTTAGTAGGAGAGCGTGAAAGAGGCATTCACATTGGAGAGACTGGTCATTTATTATCATTATTGGACTAATTTCTTAGCATTACAGACAAGTAATACTTGATTGAGTGCCACAAGGAACAGCAAATACCRCATCATAGGAATACACGTTGCTGTTTCCTAGAAGTTGTAATAGCCTTTATGTAACTTTTTCAGAACTTCAAAATGCCTCATTTCCTGACAGCTGTTCCTATTTTCAGTAATTATTGGAACATTTTTGCACGTTTAAATATGCATTCATAGATTCTGAACTATATTAAAATGCCTTATAACTCATTTGCCTTTTTGAAGTTGCTTTTCCGCAACATATACGTTGAAGCTTTTAGGCAATCAGCTGAATAATCTGGCCCAGATTATTATTTCTCTGTTGGGTTTGAATTCGTATTTAGGAAGGCAACTGCTTGCTTGAGCCATGGGATTTTCTTCTCACTCCTTGTCAATTCCATGGAATTTAGGCTTTTGTCTATACATACAAATGCCTAGAACAGTGAAGATTATGTGTGGATAGCAAACTATCGTTTGTGAGGACTGTCAGTACTATAGTTGTTATTTTTGCCCCCATGGGAATAGCATCCTTGTTCTTCCTTAGTTTCATATTTCATCTATTCCATTCAGCTTTAAAGATACATGTCTGGGAAAAATCTTCTTGAGCACTGTCTTCAAACTTGAAATACAGCAGTCCACAGAGCCCTTAAAAACAACAAAATCAACACATATAGTCACCAGTTCTCAAACAGTTTTCTGCATAACATGATTATGATGGCTTTGAAGKATTTCTCTCAAACAGCACCCTTAGGAATTACAGGATACTATTAAAACAGACCAGCCAGAAGTAATTTCTTACCACCTTACTCTTTGAAAAGCTTGGCCGTTTGTTGTGCTCATGTCTATATCACTTTTGTTCCCTTCACAAAAATATTCAGGTGTTCTTTGATGTGAAGATTGGAGACAAAGATGTTGGCAGAATTGTAATTGGATTGTTTGGAAAAGTTGTCCCAAAGACTGTGGAGAACTTCATTGCATTGGCAACTGGAGAAGTACGTTTGCAGCTTTCTTCTACCGTGTACGCAAGTTTGGCTTGGGAAGGCAATGTTTGTTCAATGCCGTTTCAGTTGTGAACTGTTGATCTTCATTCATTGGAACCTGTGCAAATGTGCCATCCCCAAGGCTGTGCACTAATGTGTGTCTCCTTAGATCACAAGACGTAATTATGAGATGCTGGATATTACCACATCCATCTGTCTCTGCCTTGCAGATCTAGCATGTGGAGTTACTGTGGTCAGATACCAGTCAGATAAGGACAGTGGCCTTGATCACCTGAATAATACTTTCTTTGTGGCAGTGCAGTCCAGCTGTGTTAACCTGCAGCTCAGTTTAGTGTGTTTCTTGACAGTATTATATCCCTTGGTGGTATTTTCTGTAAAGTCTAGCCATTCACAGCTTCAGTATTTCCATATGGTTGTATATAGAGCTGGATGTTATATTCATTTAAAGAATTATTTCATTTTCTTAGAGAGGATATGGATACAAAGGAAGTAAATTTCATCGTGTGATCAAAGACTTCATSATTCAAGGAGGAGACTTTACAGCTGGAGATGGATCAGGAGGTAACATGCATAGTATCTTCCAGGTTCCCTTTTCTTCGTTCAAATGTCTGCTGAAAATTTGGGCAAAACAGCATATTCCTTCATTGTTTCTGCTCACATAAATGAAAAAAAAAAAACCAACCCAAACCAGCCCACATTTGTTTTAGAGCATCTGTTACTTTTCCAAGAATCTTGTWGCCTAAGCTGCAGCTATTTGGATTATCTGATTTATAAGTATGTGTAGCTCTTCCTTTGTCCTCAGTCTTTGCAGACAGCTCTTTTCTGTCTGTGATTTGTTCCCATTCAAGAAGCATGGCTTTGCATGCTGGGCTGGAGCCATGTGACCAGCTGAGCTGCTCCTACAACTTACCGTCTCCAAAAGATGGATGTCTCCACGCTTCCCCTGCTCTGGCTTTGACAGCACACCTTTCCTGAGGCACTCACTGATTGCATGTAGAGGTGAATCTGTTCAAGTCATCCGGCAGAAGTCTAATCTGTGATGAAACAGTGAAAGCACATAGAGGGAAGGCAGGTAGAGAAGGAAGGGGCTGTGCTCTGTGCCTTCAGCTCAGCCCGTTCTGGGGAACCTCTGAAATGTGCTKTGAGAGGGAATTTCGTAACAGGAGAGACAAAGAAATTAGAAGATGAGGGTCATGCCCACTCCCCTTTTTTTCTTCTACTAAAACTTGCTGGTGCTGAGTCTTGGCTGTATCACTTCTCCCTCCTGAGCCTCCAGAAGAACAATTCAGTCCATTCAGGTGGGCAGTCCCAGTGCAGCATCTCTTGCACTGCAATCACTCTGGCTGCRTATTTCTTCTCTTCCTTTAAACACACATTCTTCATGTGCTACAATTTGAACTGTCTGCATGAATTGTGAGTGGTATAGAAAGGAAAATCCTGCTGGGATAGAATGGAAAACACACATTCCTTCTCCTAGCAGCGAACAATGGGCAAGACCATGATTCTGAAGACACAGTTTTAGCATTAAAGGTAGGCAGCATTTATTTGCCTGCTGATGTTTATTGTGATCGCTCCTGGTGGTGTTGGGAGCATTGTGCTTTGCACTGCACAAGTAAAGAATGAGACAGACAGCCATCTCTTTTCAGGGTAATGGTGGTTAAAACATCACTGATGTGTTTTCYCTCTGAACTATTTTAGAAACATCAAAATCTTCATGTTGTGGTTGTGCAAATCCACACCATGTAGTTTAGTCTAACTTCCATTTGGTCTTAATATGTTTCTAAACATGTCTGAAGCAATTTCTTAGTACGAGGGAAAGGTTTAAATACTGAAATTGYCACAAAATTTGGCAGCCTTATTGTTAGTGGCTGTAAGTGTGTAATTTGCCAAACAGGATGAAGTGTTGTTCAGTGGCATCTGTAGACCAGACTTTCTAAGGTACAGCTTGCTTAAAATCAAAGGATGAAGCATCATCAGCTTTAACTATTATCTCCTTATATGTGGTGGTTTGGCTTACCTTTACACAYAAAAAATTGTTTTAGTTATGGAACCGCTGATGATTTAACAGTGATGTTCTTCAAACTATGTTCATTCAAGCAATACATCTTCACGTCCTGAATTCATGCTTTGTTTTTCCCATTTTTGAACAAAAAAGGGGCTTTTTAAAAAAAAAAAAAAAAARTTGCTTTCTTACTCTCTGTCATAGGAAGAAGCATCTATGGAGAAAGGTTTCCAGATGAGAACTTCAAGCTCAAACACTATGGAATTGGCTGGGTTAGCATGGCTAATTCTGGCCCAGACACCAATGGATCTCAATTCTTCATCAGTGTGACAAAGCCTTCCTGGTTAGATGGAAAACACGTAGTATTTGGCAAAGTCCTTGATGGAATGGTAAGTTTAAAGTAGTGGTTGATCTGGACAAATTGTGCCATATTATATTCTTGTTACCATGGTTCAGAAACAGTTGAATGTTCCTGTAACATGTACATGGTAGAAAATGGTTGTGAAGAGCTCCATCTGGACGATTTAGAACTGAAATAGCAGAAATAGAAACCTGTACCATGCTTTTGGCTTTCACAGCCCTTATTTCAGACTGCTAGCCATTGAAATCAACACTGACACCTTCGCAGATTACAAATGGCAGAAGTTCAGCTCCTCCTGTCACTAACGCTGTTGGCCATGAAATCTGTTTTTACAGGCTAAAACCAAATAGCATGCTAGTTATGGGTAATGCTTTCAGTGTTAGGATTTCTAGAAGCATGTGAATATAAAGCATGGAAACACATACTGATGAAAGGCCAAATAGAATTTTATGCTGAAAAATTATATTTTCAAGTGATTATATTTTATTAGTTTGGTTTTCTTTACAAATTGTTCCTTATTCATCRGTGTTTTGAAATTAATGGGGAAAACATGAGCTGCTGGATGGACCAGTTCTTTGAGAAGTTAGAAAACCTCATGAGAACACTTGCTCCTCACTCCCACATTCATAAAGAATTCCATTTTCATGATCTACAATAGCTGGAAATTTTTGAGAAGATACTTAGACTTAAGTTTCAGCTTAGTCAGGTTAATGGACAAATATCCAAAACCAAGTAGTCAATATACCTTACTRAACTTTGTCCTTTAAAAATATTGGTGGCATAGTACCACATTGAAAATCTGTATGTGTGTGTTATATATGCTAAAGGTAAAAGCAGTAACTRCATTTCTGGAAGCACAGTTATGCTGTACAATTAGAAAAATAATAATGCTTATCTTCTCTGATCTCTGGATTCATTCCTGCTCACAGGCCACAGATAGMATCCTGTATGTGCTAGGTAATTCAGCTGAATGTATATTTTCAGTTGCCCCTTCGTAATATTTTTGTTGGTTGAAAGGTTTTCTAGGAGGGCAAACAGCCGGCCATGTCCTCTTGTCAACTGTGTGAGTTACAGAGTGGCATAATTGCTAATGCAGAAAAAAAAGATGTGGGAAGTCGACAGGGTAAAGGTCTTTGTTCAAGTGCTGGTTAATAAGCAGTGATGTTAGGCGCATTTCGTTGTTTCTGCGGCATCAGTCTTCAGCCACTGGAATTTATTTGGCTAAACTGAACCTTTCTGTTTGTTGGTTTCTTTTGTTTAACAGTCGGTGGTTCACTCGATAGAGCTCCAGCAGACAGATGAACATGACCGGCCCCTTCAAGACTGTGTGATTGTGAACAGTGGCAAAATAGCTGTAAAGGAACCATTTGTGGTTGAAGTTGGTGACTGGTGAGACCAACAATCAGAATGAAAAGTAAAACTTAATCACTTTTCTTTAATGCCCGTTTTTGACTGATCTCAACTATCCATCGAGTGAGTTTTCTCAAAACATGAGGCTGTATTTAAGCAATACTTACCATTTGCCAAGTACATAAAAGATACGACTATTTCTATAACAACTTGATGGAGCTGTCACTCCTTGAAATTCAAGACATAGCCCATAAAATTCTAGGTCTTGCAGAAAAATCTTTAATGAAAAATTATAGCAATAATTCAATTTTTTCAAAGTTTAAAATACAGTCATTTTGTTCTCTTTGGAAATGTTAGCAATATTTGTTTTTGTCTTACCAACTGAAAATATTTACTGTAACAGTACCAGCATTTAAAAAAAATTTAAAAAAAATACAGAAGAGTTTTGAATTAATAAACTTCGATTTCAAATAAATACTTGAGAGCATTTTTTACTCCACACCCCCTTCCCAAACTCATCTTTTCACCTCAGCTGATTCTGCAAAATATGCAGGGGGTTCTGCTTTTCAGGAAATAAGGTTGTAAGGCTAGAACAGAGATGGTAAATTTTTCTAATCTTAATGTGTCAGATAAAGTCCCTGCTGTCTTTCAAGGAACTGCAGCATTCAGATCCATCCTCTGATGAAGAATGAGTAACTTACTCTGTCTATTATTAGGATAATCAGTTAGAAACTGATTTACATAAAAGAGTCCTTTTACAGCATGGTGAGTTTTGTAACACCTAACAGTGTTATTTATTGTAAAGCTCAAATGCTTTAAAGAAAAAAAAAAAAAAACAACTTTGCTGTAAGTTTGAGAACTTAAAGTTCATTATTTTTGTGATGCTTTGTAAGTAACTCTTAAGCTGACAACTGGTTGCTTTGAGAGGTCAGTGTAAGGACACTTGTGTTAAGGTCTTACAGTGTGCCACAGGGCAGAGATGTGGGTTTTTTCCTTGTGAGTTGACAGTGTTTTATGACTCAGAATGGAAGAGCCAATGCCAAGATCTGATGAAGGACTCATCCTGCGGTACAGCAGGCAGCACACTACTCCTCTTTGTTGTGACTAGCTTCCTGAAGGGTCCTGAAGCCCATGAGGTATCCATAGTTGAAGAGATTCAGGCTGCCACAGCAGAGAACTTTACCAGCATTCCACTTATAAGGAAACGGAAAAGCTGGAGGTAGGGATTTTTCCCCCAGGTTCKCCTGACATGTCAGTCATAGTTACAGGATGGTCCTGCTGATTCTTCATCCATAGTACTGAGGCCTGTTGTGGGTTAAGATTTTCCCCTTTTTGTTCCCTTTCTTTGGGATATTTTTCTTTCCCATTTGTTGCTGGGATACATTAATTGCCAGGTCATCCTCTTGATGGCTGGGTGATTAACGAAGACAATGATACCTATGCCCCACCTTAACGGTCTTGCCAAGCGCTCGGAGAGTGTTTTTGTGTGGTGGGGGGCGTGATTTCACTTACTTGGCTGCTTYGCTGAGAGAAGGAAGTCTGCCCGCTGGCTGCTCCGGAGAAAGCTGGCCTTCCCTTTTTCTGCGGAGACCAGCATCTCKRYTCATTGAGTTCCTGCTTGCTGCACAGTGGTTTTCTCTCCTGTGCCTTGCCGGGAACCTCTGCGATTCCAGCTTCAGGGGTGAGCTCTGCTCCATCCCGTCTCGCAGCTGCGGGACTGTGCTTGTCTCTTTGCCGTCCTGGGTTTCTTGCTGTCCAGAGGAGCGCCGAGATCGGCGTTGCCGCTGTGTGTTTTGYAGAGAAACTTTTCTCCATCCACCTCTGCCATTTTGTGTCCATCACTGGGCCGCGGGAGATCTGAGCCAGCCGGGACCCGCGGCACAGCGCCCCCTGCAGCCGCCGGGGAATCATCGCACCCGCCCTGCCCGGCCGGGAGCCAACAGCGCCCCTGCCGGCTGGGACTGTAACTGCACCAAAAGGGAGGGTGCATCTCCATAAAGCTGTCACTGGGTTTGGGACTGGGCTGGTTGTTGCTGTTGTTATTGTTACTTGTTTCACCTTGTTATACATATTAGTAAAAACTGTTATTCCCTTTTACCCATATTCTTACCTGAAAGCCTGTGATTTTTTCAAAGCTGTAATAATTCGGAGGGAAGGGGGGGTCCCTGCCTTCACTGGCAAACACCTGTCTTTCAAACCAAGACAGGCCTCTCCTGAGGGTAAATACTGATATTCTTTTCAGAGACAGTTGATATTCTTTTCAGTGTGAAAGGCTGCTATCCTCTTTAAACAGAGTTTAGAAGCCCTTAGTTGCCAAGGGCCTCTAAATTTGCCTAGTGCTAGGCAGTCAGATTTTCCATTTTTACGCCTGAGCATTTTTCTTTCTACTAGCTGATTAAAGTAAAAATCTTTGAAAAGCAGCACTGGGAAGCAGGGTTAGCAGGTAGGAGTGAGACTGCCTTGCCCAATCAGCTTTCTTCTAGTAGCTGAAAGCTTTCCTGGAGGCTGAGCCTGCAGCCCTCAAAARGTTACACTACTTGAACAAGTGCTGCAGTCACAGGCCTACCTTTTTTCCAAGTCCCAGCTTTCCACTCTCCCCAAAYGGCTTCCAAACACTTTACTAGTTAGAGCAGGCAACCCATATGTCTCCAGGATCAGACTGGCAGCTTTGCCAGAGCTGTTTTTGAGCAACACTCTCTTCTGCTCATGAGCCCAGTGACTTACTGGCTGTTCAATTGCCTTGAATTTTCTTCACCTTGTGAGCCTACCAGATTCACATAGCATGGTGCTAAGAGCTTTAAATGAGCAGACACACAGGTATTTTCTCACACTTCATGAGGAAGCATCTCAGATGACAGAATCTCAGAAAATTTTCAACAGAAAAGCACAAATCACTGAAGTGGTACATTCATGTCCTAGTAATTTATTTTGTAATGTCTAGTAACACACACAAATTTCCAGTTAAATCTGAACATACACATATATGGATCCGTTTTAGTTTGATCATAATCTTAATAGTATTCTTTAGTTTACCACAGAGTTGTATGTCCTGTGACTTATAAAATGTTAATATATTGGAATACAGTCAGCAAGTTGTTGTGGAGAGTAAACAAATACAGAGGTTAGATGTCATAACTGAATGGAGATGCATAAAAGCCACATAAAAGCTCCTGGTAATTAAAATAATTTCAACTGAAATCTAGAAAATTTCCTCAGAGAGTGCTACGTATTTCAGAATGTGAAAGCATGTTTTCTAATTCCAGGCACACTCTCCTCAGCACTTCTAATTCATCCAGTGCCAGCAGTGGTTAATGTGCTGGGAAAAATCCTGGTGCAAAAAGGTTTAGTGTTTGCTTTAATAGAAATTATAGAAATAATTAGTAAAACTCTTCAAAGGTTAGTGTAATTCAGTGTGTGACTTAGAATATTTAGTGTTAAATAGTTAGAGCATGTCAATATATAGAAGATATAAATAACTTCAATACTGTTGTTTCATTATCTTTTTTTTTTTAAAAGCAGCAACTGTAAAGACAGTGATTTTCTTAAAAAAAACATAATTCTTGCACTTAGAGTCTGAGGTTGGCCTCTTGCTTCTGAGCATAATATTCACATCACAGAATTTTATTCCTGTTAATTCTATTAAATATGACTCAGAAACTTGCTTCAGCTTCTTGCCATATATCACTTCTACCTGGGCAGTAAATGAGGATAAAATATTCCATGTAGAATGCCATCTATAACTACGTTTGGAAAGTCATCTGAAAAAAAAAAAAAAAAGGGAAGATGTTTAATTTCTTATCCATGTTAGTACAATATAAATGTTTTTTAGTGAAACTTAACTAAGTAAGGCCTTGTATACTTTGGGTTACTGCATCAGTCAACTGTTTATCCATGTTGGGCATGTGCTATTAGTAATGCTGTTTCAGCACTAAAGCCACTTTAGGGTAGCACTGGGCATTGCATGAATGTGCTGCCAGATTTGTAGCTTATTGATTTAAAGGGATGTTCTAATACTTAATGCTGCTAGGCTCCAGCTCTTTATCTGAATCTTTTCTCACAAGGAAGATGGATTACACTGGCAATTCAATTTCTAACAAAATCTCAATATAGTTGAAGAAATTTCAAGATTGCTACTGGGAATACTTCAAAGCTGTTTTTTGTATTGTGGTTTACAGCAATGTTTAGACTGAGAAGATCTGAGGATGCCTGTACAAAGATGATTATTTGAGGCAAGGAATTTTCAGCTTGTAAATTCAGCATAAAATATCACAAGTTTTAAAATGGCAGCCTACAGTATTTGAAGGTAAAAACCCTCATTACTTTGTTACCACAGGTGAAGAGGAAACTGCCAGTTAATTTTCATGTTCAATTTGGCATGAAAGAATTACCTGATAGAACACACTAATAGATCCAGGATGTACACTGTTGAATTTAAAAGATTTTTGAAATTCACCAGCACCTGAAGTTTTAATGAAGGATTTATTTAAATCACCAGGCATTAAAAGTAAGAATTTCTGATCACATCTTACAACCTTAAAATGGTTAATACACTAGAAATAGATTTTCCACTAAGAATGGACTGTTTCTGATACAGAACTTTCCACACTAATCAAACCTTCAACTGTCAGCCTACAGGATATCCACAAAGCAAAGATGTAACTTCTATGAAAATCACTAGTACTCAATAAAATGGATCACCTAATGTGGATGGGAATTAGGGTTTGCCCCTAATTCTTTTCACAGAAATAATTTTGGAGGTAAAAATACCAATCAAAAGTAGATTTGGACTCTATGAAAACAATCCTTATTGTCTTAAATGTGTTATTTCTTTGTTATTAATAAACTGATTTCAAAATATTAAAGATGTTACAAACAGAGTGATTTTAAGATGTTTTCATGAACTGTAACCTCCACTGTAAACTATATATGCATAATGCTACTCAGCTTCCTGTAGTTATAATATCTTGAATCCTATGTTTCCTCAAATTCCGTAAGCTCCTCTGTCCCAGATCACCCTAGGAAGTTGTCATTAATGTTACCAAAATACAATTGTAAAGGCAATCTGATGYTTTCCTTCTAGATTAAATGCCCCAGTTCCAGAAACCAGTTTTTATTGGTTCTTCTATAACATACAGTAAATACAGGAAAATAAGGATTGATTTTCAAATGGATACAACCTCACAACATTAGATGTTGATGAGCCTTATTTCCTCAATAAAATCAAGCATATAAATTTAAATATAACTGAAGTATTCATATATATATAACTTAAGTATAAATACTAACACAACAAAGCAGTCTTGCAGATCTAAAATTTGCATGGCTCAAAGAACCATCAAAACAATTTTGTAACAAGTGACAGTAAATCTAAGATTCCATTTTTTCAGCTTCCAAAGTATCAATCCAATTTGAAGCATTAGCTATTTGCTTTATTTTGCTTGAGAACATTACTTTTTTTTTCTCCCCACACCCTTACRCAAAAAGAGTCATGTACTTGGGCWCTCAGACTGATAGACACATCATGAAAAATGGAATCTGAAAATCAATGAGGTTTGTAACTGTGGATCTTACTCTTGGAAAATTGACTTGCAACGCAAGAGTGCTTAAAGCCCAGTCATTGGAATAATGGCAAGATTATATTTTATAAAGACAGTTAACAGAATAACAGTTCACTATTATTGAATAGTATTTTCCAGAAATAGTTATTTATTTTATTTAAAACTCATACTATTTCCTATTTATTGAAATATGTTAGCACAGGCATTCTTGTATCCAGGAAAGACTTCTGATTGAAAYAACTGTTCACCTTCTTCAAGAAAACCATGCAACAAATAGTTATTTGTTAATGAACACTTACTTTTGGTCATAGGTTGACCAACCTTGGCTGTCTTGGCTGTAAAATTTTCCCTCTCAAATCAGTTCTTACTTTGATAGACTCTGATTCCTTTTTAAACCTTGGCTGTCTTTAAAAAGGAATCAGAGTCTATCAAAGTAAGAACTGATTTGAGAGGGAAAATTTTAGAAAATTCATCTATATTTTCTCTGTGCTGCAAACTAAAAACAAAGAAGAATTAAACACAATGGTAGTTATGTAAAAACTTTGTCTCTTTCTAATTTGATTTCAACTAGTAGAGCCYCTAGACTTAGGACTTGGTTTTCTTTTTTAAATCACAACTCACATTCTAATTTGTGTTTTAATTCATTAAGTTAAAGAATGCAATGAATTTGATGTTTTAGGGTTTTTAAATACAAATATTCATCTGCCATGTAAAATTCTAAATATTGTGGGTCAAGGCCCAAAAATACCTTGACCCACAAGGGTCTGAAAYGTCCTTTGTTTCACATGTCATTAATGAGGCCTACTCAATATTTAAAAAACTTACTCAATAGAAGAGGCTTTTATCCTAATGSTTTTTTGCATTACTTAAAAGAGTAGTTACAAAATTAATTACGAAGTTCATAAGGATTTTACAGAAAGGAAGCTTAGCCTTACTCAGAGCATACAATATGTATGGGAGATGATAAATACATCACAGAACTGAAAAATCTTGAAGTCTTACAATAAATATTACTTGTGGGCTGGAAATACTAAGCACCATCTCAATATTTTGAAATAACTGTATATGAAATCCCTTTTTCTCTCTTCGGAATGGTATGGAATTACATGATGTTTGTAATTTATACTGGGCTCCTGAGGAATCAAGTCTGCAATTAGGAGGAGCATTAAACAATAAGATTAAGACATGCAATATGGCTCACTCTAAATAGGCAGCATCTGGACCAACTTTTAACAGAGGTAATTCTGTGGGTGATTCTCCATTTCTGTTGTCACTTGGATCAGGTGTGACCCTGTGYAGTGACCCCCTCCCCTTACCATGCTTTGGTTCATTGATTTTGTGATGTGCAGCCTCAAATGAACACTCAGACTAGTGAAACAACCTTGTAATGTGTCTTCTGAYGTGGACCTGAGTGACACAGGTCCTTTGCTGTCTGTGCTTCACTCCACACCTTTGAGTTCAGTAAGACTTCATAGGGTCAATAGTGTTTGGCTACACTGCTAGCTAGAGTGGACACTGCCTGCAAGAGAGACCACTTAACCCCCTCAAAATACATGAGCATGTCCCTATGKTTTTTATAAACAGCTTGAAAAAACAACGGAACAATAGAATGGCTGCATCTGGATGAGACGACTGAAGGTGATCTGGTCCAACCACTTCTTCAAGCAGGGGTACCTGCAGACAGTCACCCAGCATCATGGCCAGGCAGCTTCCGAGCGTCTCCAAGAGTGGACACCCACCACTCTGGGCAGCTGGTGTCTGGGCTTGAGGAAATGTTCCTGATGTTCTAGTCCTATCACTGGGCAGCCCTGAAAAGAGATTGGCTTTGTCTTCCCTATACCCTCCCCTCAGATATTTACATACATCTTGAGAAAATCTCAAGGAGCTACACTCCATTACTAGGCTGGAAACTACAGGCAAAAAAGTATCCTTTCCTAAACTTATTCTTAAAAATTTAATGTGGTTTCTACACGGTATTTTGTAAATGAAGCAAAATGCCTCAGTTAAAAAGTATCTTTATGTGCAGCTCACGGAGAAAAATCACTCCTGAAAGCCTATTACATTTTAAAATAAAATATTAAATAGAAATATCAAGTTCAAACAACTAAAATGACAAAACTAAGAGGAACATGCTCTGAAAATGGTACTTTTTTTCACTGTGCACATTTAATTGAAGACAGGATAAGTTCTCTGAATTTATTAATTCAAATAACTTTTCATATTAAAAGAGTTTATAACAAACTATTTCAAACATTCTTTTGAGCCACATATTGTGAGATGAAGTCTAATGTAAATGTCTTGTAAAATACATCAATTACACTTGAAGTACATTTTTCCCCATAAAGAGCTCCAGAGGTGCTTCTTCATGATATCTTTGTGGTAAGAAATCATAATAATCCAAATGGAAATACAAACAAGCTTGCAGTAGATCACCTAGTGTTTAGGGGAAAAGCATTTGCAGAAGACTGTGCCTCCAAGTTCAAAATCTTCAGGCATAATAGCCAAAGGGTCAACAACAAGAAAAGAAAAGMGGTGTTCTTCATCTTTTGATTTGAATTCTCAATAGGTTTGCCTGAGAGAATAACAGGGGGAGAAAACTCTACCCTTTCATAAATCACCCACCCCACTTGGTGTTTTAATGGTTTCTTACACAAGAACTATTGTTTTATTGGCAGGTTATTAGATCTCRGACCAGTGTCATTTGACTAGGCCAGTATTAATAATAATGTGGTTTATGCAGTGTAGGATGAGATCAGTGAGGTGCTGTTAACAGATGACAGATTTGATTACCGTTGRCTTTAGGCAAGACATATGGATCCCTTAGGAACAGCAGCACAGGCTGGTGGGACAATTTGCTGGAAAGGTCAAGAACAAGGATGTCAGTATCAAGGGACAGCAAACAGACTATTCTACAAACTAYCCTACAAACTAGCTTTGATAAAGTGAGGTGGTTGAGCTGCACAGGAGCCACGCAGAGCGGTTCTGCACACCTTTGCTGCCCAAGAGGGCAGGCTCCAACTCCTGGAAGCAAAGCTCACTGCTCCTCAGCCACACAGTGAAACCCTCAGTGTCAAGCTGGAGTGAAGAGACTGCATCCAGGAGGAGTGCCTTGGAGCTGGCACTCCTGAGACCTGATCCTGCTCTGCTCCCTGGCCGTGGTGTCATGCAGGCTAGCAGACCATCTACAACCARGGTCCGTGTCTATAGGCTCTCCAGGCCACCAAGCAGACTCCAAATGTCACCGTGTTCATACAGCAGTAAGGGGTTGCTGTACCCATCACCCATGAAGAGAAGTCCTTGGAAGCCCCCCAGGCCTGACTCTCGCCCTCCCACAGCATGGACAGCCTCCCCCAGCCCTCTCCACTCTGCTCTGTATACACACATTCTAAGTAGTGCAACCGCATGCAGACAAAGCTCTATCAAATACACAGGAAAGAACCCAAACATCTAATTTCTTCTGCTAAATCTTCTTGCTACAAAAACGACATTCCCTGATATATTTTAGAGCTGKCAGTATTCTATCAGTTTTGTATGGCATTTCTGAACACTAGCATAAGGATGTTCTATTCACACTATAAATGGACAGATACAGCACAGCTGATGGTAATATTTAACAAATACTTTAATTTTAATGCTAAACTACTGCTAATTTGTTAACTGCAACGAACAAGTAAAGTAAATGCCAATAATTTAAGTAGTTTATTAATCAGGTGTCCTATAAAGAGTAGAAGTCAAGCTCACCTTGATTCTTCAGATTCTGTTTCATCAAAAGAGCTGCAAGTAGAATGAGAGGAAACCTTGGTTACAATAAAATTAATCTTACCATTAAAACCCCCAAATTCTTCAAGAATTACCAAAGGGAGCAATCTTTTTCCGGTCAGTGGCTACACAATGCACATAAGGAAATTAATATGGGAGATTGTATCATTTTATAATCACTACTACTTTACAATGAGAGCATCCATTTTACTGCTACAKATCCATTTCCATTATCTATCTATGAAGTGCTGGGGCACAGTCCCACTGAGGATACTGGCTGATGTCATTAACTGCTAGTGAAAACTAAAGTCTGCGAGTTTCTGAATCACTCTGGACACTGCCCTGGGCCATAGATACCTCCAAGTCTAAGAGGGCCTCAAAAATTATCTTTAGGTAAACTTGTCTTCTTGCCACTACAGATCCAAACAGCCCCTCTAAAGTGGAAAAGGGCCATGTGGCTTTCTGTGGAGCAAGTTCTAGTAAWGCTTTTGGACTATCAGCTATGTTATCTTACATAGCAAAAGAAATTCTCTCTACAACACTCACAGCTGCAGATGGTAAGAGGGCTTCCAACTACACTGTTCRGGGTATTTCAGTAGTTGTTAGACTTATCATACTAATATTCCCTTCGGCCACTCTGGTTACTAACTCTTTCCAGGGGATGGACAATTGGGTCACTGAGGTAATATCAGAAAGGTGAAAGACYTAATTTTTGAGCACACAGAGGGAGATCACAAAATGACCACAGAATGAGCTTGTATTTTGTGCATCTACTAGGACCATAAAACATTATGCAGTTTTAGTGACTGCCTATGAATATCTTACATTTCAGTAGATACTTCAAGATCTACAAGAAAATAATATTTTTCTCATCTAAGCTCTACTTTGCTTTCCAAGAATATTACATTAAACTTCCCTTCTGTCTTTGAACAAGCTGGATTTATTTTATGAGCTTTTGGGGATATATAAACATACTTAACATGAACCTAATGCCCATTTATTTTACAGTGTTAGAGTTGGCAGCAAGACCATTTTAAGTCAACAGAATTGCATCAGCACTGAGTGGATATGGGCCTTTTGGCCTTCATGTATTTTTCAGTAGATGAGAGCTTACCCACAGCTTTCTGCTTTTGGCAAGGTAGGTACATGACGAACATTCAAAAAATCAAGAAATATCTTAGGGAGCTCTTCATTTTCTAAAATGACTGTCTGTAAAAAAAAATAGGCATAATAGAAACCCACATTTTAAAAATATTTTAGATATTGCACACTTCCATTCAAGCTACAAAAACATTTCTCTCTTGCAACACTTTTCAATTCTTGTTTTTTTACATCTATTTTGGAATGCCTTATTTCAATAGGAAAACCACAGTTCTTGATGAATCCCTTAGAAATACATTCAGCTTATGCTACTACATTCATTTTCACCTGCTGTCACTGTTGCCAAGCTTTATGCCTCCCAAGAAGAGATGTCTGATTCTGGAGCTAAGTTACTGGCACGGTCATTCGTGAATAAAATTATGTCTATTTAAAATATAAAATAAAAAGAGCCTCAGCTCAGAACTTTCACATTCACCTCACAGAAGACTCACATCTGGCATATGAGCAGAAGAAGGAAGTCTCCACTTTGTGCAATTTTATTAATGCACATCTTGGTAAATGGCAACCAGGGAAACTCCTTGCTTGGCTTGACAGGTCAGCTTACAACGTACTCTGTGCATGTGCACTACAGCTCCAAATGATAAAGCTTTGACCATGCAACTGCTGGCCAGATCTGCCACATTCTTCCATAACCATGATACAACGGCCACATAATGGCCAAACTACGTCCTCTCTTTTCTCCATTGATGAAATSATTCAGTTTTCACAAGGCAAAGCAAACAGTTTATGAGTTCATAAATTCAACCAATGTCTGACCTGAAAGATTAAGCCCCAATTTCTTTACTGTTCATACTGACATACATGCTGAAAACACGTGTACTTCCCAAGAAAAAGGAGGCCACAAGCACTTATAGAGATTTCCTTCATAAAGGCCTGATCTGAAGTGAATGCATGCATGGAAGAAACTTCACTAGATTTACATTTAAACTGACTCCTAGAAGCAAAGCTATCTAGGTTCATCCTGTTCACTTTCCCACTCTATAATAGAAGAAATTAACATTGAGAAGAAACAAGTCTGGTGATGGAAAGAAACATTACTCTTGTAATTCAGGAGATAACTTAATCCTGTACATGTATTCTTTTACCTTACAATATCACAAGGGAGACACAATGGTATGCAGAAGATAGCAGGCCCACAACAACAACAAAAAGCTGGAGGAGACATCTAGAAGCCATCTAGATTTTAAAGGARGTTTTATAGCAAACTGTTTTTTATTCATTTAGGCAAAACCTGTTAAGCGTTAAAATTACTTAAGATGTGAATGGACTTAAAGAGAGACAAGCATTTGAAAACRAAGATATTTGAGAACTGGATCTTTTTTTACATCTGCAAGTCTGAATTCAGAGGCTACACTTTCTCAACAGCTGAGGGCATTACGAAAATATTTGAAAAAAAGAAYAGGGAAAAATGCAGCTTTTGAACTTTTCTGTAGTAGATTTTAAGGGATGTAACAAATAGGGACGTCCAAGATGTTAGCAAGTGTTAAGCCTTTCAGTTCACCTCTATATGAAGAAGCTGCATTAAAAAAAATCCCACTTTGTTTGCATTCTGCCCAATCAGCACCCTGCTGCTGCAAAATTTATCCTGTTCTGCATTCAGRTTATGCACAAAAGAAGGCTTGGAGGTGGATGCATATTCAGAGGGTGCGTGAATTGCATGTAAGTGTGTATGACTAGCTCAAATAAAACCATCTGTTAATTATATGCAATGAGAAACCACAAAAAGTTGTAAAAATATGTTTAAGGGCATCCATTGCGTACATGCRACTTCATACTTAGACCCCTTGACAGCATTTTCTAAAAGTTGAGCTGCCTGCTGAGGCTGCTGAATGAAACAGGGAATGAAAGGGGATAAATTTTATAAAAGGGTAACTCCTGACTACTTTTACAAATTTGCTTCAACATCTACTCATTTGGGATTAATATCTCATTCTTTTAATTATTTTTTTTTCCTCAACATGTATCAAGTCAACCCAAGCCCTGCTAATCCTGGCCTGACCAAACACATTTCACAAAAAGCTGTAAGCAAACAGTATCCATTTTAGTGTGTTAGTTGTCCATAACTCTGCTTTGGTGATCATTAAACTTGAAAATTTAGAATTTGCAGAAAAACAAAGGCAATTTTGCACTGCACTGTATTTGTATACTTCTGCTGATTTGGAATTTTGTCATTTCCAGAATTTTATGAAGGAAGGGATGACTGCATTGACCAAAGGAGGCTTTTTCACCCAATGTAATGTAACATGACATGGATTTTTAAGCATTAAAAATAGAAATATGAARGTACAAGTTAATTATACTAATAAGGGGGCAAATTTTCTTCAGGCTTGACTTCATTGGCTTATATATTCAACAAGGGTGTGGTCATAATCTTGCCATTTAAAATACATGCTGGAAACCAAAGGCAAAGAGAAAAAAAAAGCCTGATAACAACAACAAAACTAAACCAAACCAAACAAAACCCAAGAAAAACCCACACAAACTGCAAACCAACCAACTAACCAACCAACCAACCAACTAACCAAAGCAAAACACACAAAAAGCACCAACAACACTGGATTAGGTAGGTCTGTCCAAATACATTTCCTAACTCTGTTGGTGGCCCAAAATGGATGTCTAGAAAAAAATCAAAGCATTCTCAGCTTCCTATTTAAGGTTAAAAATATTAGAAATTAATATTATTTTAATTGGCTTAATTGACCTGGAACAACCCATAACACAACCAATCTTTTACTTCTGTCAGAAAACTTTTAAGAAATCCGYATTTTGCAAACCTGATGATCTTTAATTGATAGCTGTGCATAAAAGGAATTAGCAGGTAAAATTTCTCAACCAGTATACCTATAATTTGTGATGTAATATGCTCAACTGTAGCATTTGTTCAAGTGAATATATGACATTGGCTTTGTAAGCATGACTAGCTACCTTGTTTGCTCCGTCATCAAAAAGTAAAAGATAAATATTTTCAAAGAAATAAAAACTCACACTTAGTTTCTCTGTAATGTGAATTTCTGTTGCATACAAATTCCATGAAGATCATARCAATAAGTTTTAAATATAGTCCCCATTGTGCTAAGTAGGCTAATTTAAGAAAAAAAAACCCAGCATGTGTATTTCCTTCCTAAAGTAAATAAAATCCCCTCTTCCTCCAAAACTAAAACAGCTAACACAACCTCTAGCAAGTGATTTGGGAACTGACTCCAGAAATACATTTTTCAACTCATTGATTTCAGCTGAACTAAAAGTGCCATATTTTCTTAGAAAATTGTAAAGGGTATTTATCTGTTACTGTCACACTTTAATGAACTACTCTGTGCTTGAGGTGAAAAAAACCCACAACACAACACAAGGGAAAGTCTGATGTTTACATCAGCAGAAATGTCTTTTTCATTGGAAGGGTGCAATTATTATTATGTAACACAAATCATAAAATCCCCGATTTTTCTACCTTATCAGTTTCATAAAATCATGTTCCCTAAGGATGTCATTGATTAGTTGCACATGTTCTTTCAGTGACATCTGAAATACTTAATTGTCGGTTATCTTTTCTCCTTCAGTAAGTAAAATATAGTCACAAAATTGCAAAGGGACTTGTTCTGCCTTAACCTTAGCTAGATGCCATCATGCAGTGGAAAACAGTGCTAAAATATCACAGGATAATGCCCTCCAACAAGGGAGACATATAAACAGCATAATGATTTCCCACGAGTTTCCWTTTTAGAAAATTGTCACTAAAGCCAGGGTAAATGGTGACATATCTTCACAGAGGACACTGTGAAATCGAACACTGGCATTCTAGTTAGGCCCAAACCTACTCATCAGCCAATTATAACAGTAACTGAACATCTTGCTGAAAACCTGAACAAGACCACTTTGCTAACCTTCAGAGATCAAGCCACAGAAAAGCATCATTTTCACACAACATTATTATTATCATCATTATTTATTATTATTATTATTATTATTATTATTATTATTATTATTATTATTATTATTATTATGTCATTTTTTAATGAAAGAAGATTTAAAAATTAATTTATTACAGTCATCCATCATGCTTTCTTGAGGTTGCTGAAACAGCTGTTGGAAAGGGAGAAAAGAGATTGGGGAGCTAAGTTACAGGCTTTTTACAGACTTTTCCATTCAATCGGGTTTGGTTTGAAAGGCTGTACTGTTAGGGTGAAAAAGTTCATGACAGTTTTTCCTCTCTTCACAGGGAAAGATGCTTCACAATACCTAATTCAGTGGTGCAGCTAAAATGGGGGAAAAGAAAATCAATACATTCCGGCTATAGTAAGTAGGCTGGAGTGTCAGTCTCCACTGGGACCAAAATCCACATCTTTTAGAACATTTTAGTGTCTATATTCTTCTATTAACCTGCTTTTCCTGGACAGCTTYACACAGTCCCATGAAATGATAAAAAGGTTATCAAAAGAATGCTTTAGTTAAAAAGCAAGTAGACAAAGGAACCAGACTTTTAAGAGAAAGCTTTTTTTTAAAGTAATAGATACAATCACATTTTATATTACCCACTGTGAAGAACTATGAAGAAACTCACTCCCTTGTTCAGTGAGGATATTGTTATAGGTTATTAGCTATGACTAATTCTAAAAACAATTTCCACTTTTCATTACTACCAGAAGCCTTCACTTTTGTAAGAATGGAAGTTTATCAAATGCTTGAAAACCTGTATAAAGATACAAGAAGCAAGCAAACACACACACAACAMCACAGAAGTGATGCTCCTTATGAAGCACCAGCTAGTTAACACTCTCATGCTCTGCATCAAAGGGAAGTCAACAGTAAGAGTGACATCCATGCCACTTGAACGGGAACAAATATTGACTATAGGTATTATAAGACAAAATACATCCAAGAAAGATCCAAAAGTTCCAACTGAACTATCTGAAAGATAATGTAAAGCTGTAAGAGTTAAAAAAAAAAAAAAAAGGACAGCGGGGAATTGCACCTCTGAACCTCAAGACTGAAGAATACTTTGTGTGAGCTTAAAACTCCCCCAATAGCCCATTAGTGACAAATCTATCATA